AAGCATTAAGGATGATGTTGAAATATTCCAACTCTCCCAAATTGAAACTCTTCCGGTAACAGCTAGGGAGATAGCTCGGGAAACGCGAGCTGATGAAGAATTAAATAGTCTTTATATGAAATTAAAATCTGGAGAAAGTTTGGAAGGTAGGGAAGCAGAGTACACCTTATAAGATGACTGTATAATGAGTGGTCAGAGGGTAGTTGTTCCGAAAAAACTCTGAGTTAAAATTCTCAAAGAGTTACACCAAGGACATTTAGGAGTCATTAAAATGAAGGCAATCGCCAAATCCTAGGCCACTATACTTCCTCTGTCGAACTCGGATACTTGATCAAACAATGATCGCTGTTTACTACAAGGCATAATTGATCTTTTTTTTTTTTTTTTTTTTTTTAAATACCACAAGAAAAACACAATTGCCAAACTTGAAATCGTCCAAAACTCCAAGTCTTAAATAGCGCTTTGAAGTGGCGCCACAGGTGTGCACAATGTGCATCTGCGCTGAAATTCTAATCATTTGCATATCTCCCCTCTGATAATGCATGTTGTAAATTTCATGTTATTTGCATGCTTCCTTCAGCGTGTTGCATTTATGATGGCCAGCAGTGTATATTAAGTGTCTATTGTATTATATTTAAGAGCAACAAAAAAGGTGTACCACACACATACACACATAAAAATCTTTTGCACAGAATAATCTTTTCTTGAATAACAAAACTTATGTTATTTACTTTTCAAAATGCATTTAAGAATAACATATTATATAAAAACTTCAGTTAAAAGTAATGCCAAATAATGATCAAATTTTAAAAACTTAAAATGACATGACTTTGACATCAATTTTCTATGAAAAATAGTAATCCTTAAACTAAGATATTCTGATTTAATCCCTACAGGTTAATAAGCATAAATATTTTTTAATCATTTCTTGACATTAATTTTTTATAATTTATGCAGTTTTATTTTCATACATACCCAATTATACAATTTCGATATACATACAAAAATTTCAAGTAATAAATTTTTAAAGCATTTCTCGACTCAAAAATTCATATAATATATACATTTCAGTGAGATAACATTCTTTATATTTATATTAGGTGATGAAAATAAAACTGTCATATATCTGAAGTTTTGACATAAGGATTCATTCCCAAAATAATGACAGCTGCATACAGTTACTTAGAACTTTTCTTATCTTATATTAGACTAATTATACTGCAAAGTAAATTTCTCAGAACCATGAAATTAGAGATTATTATTAACTAAATTATTAACTAAATATTAATTAACTAAATTATTGAAATCTTAGTGATGATGGACTTAACAATTATATTTGAAGTGGAAAAGGAATCAAAATTACATAAAAAAAATACACAGCTTTATAAGATCAATCTATTCCAAAAAGTCCTGAAAAATATCAAATAAATTCAATTAAAAATTATATATGGAAGAAAGAAATTATGTTTTAATCTTGTGTACAGGGATTGTACAAAAAAATAGAAACACCATACTTGAAGAAAAGAATTTTATTCTTGCTAAAATTAGAGCAAAACATAAAATTAACCAACACTTTTTATGTAATTCTATATTCTTAAACTTATGTATGAATACATTATATCTGTCTGGCAAACTCCTGTGGAACTGTTGCAAATCCAAGGAAGACATTATGAATTTCATACCAGACTGTAATCCATATCTACAGGATACAGTCAAAAGTCGTTAATCCGGACTCGTCGGGACTTCGGCGATTCCGGATTATCGATTTTTCCGGATTATAGATCGTCAGTTTAAATCTCGTAAGATCGCATGCAGAAATTCTAAAATTAAAAATATGAAACCGTAATTTATGAAATAAAGAACAATTATGATCTAAAGGGTATCAAAATTTACAAAAAAAAAGGCTTAATATTTATTTGTTTACTTTATTAAACATTTCTTTCAATGTAAGTTGTTTAAGTTGCTTCGTTTTATGTGATAATACTTTCTCTTTAATTCTATAAACAGAAATAAATTCTTGTTCAGTTACAAAGTTCCGCTGTTCAAGTCCCGTTAATTGCTGTGCCGAGAATACTGACTAACTTGTCAATCGAAACTGTTTCGTTTTCACTAACCTCTCTGTCACATTCTTCATATCTTTATCAATTTTTTGCAGCAATTCCACTTTTTGTTTGTTGGACATCGAAACATACTTTCGTTTTGTAGATCCTTTGGAAGTTCCAGCATCGGAAATTCTATTTAACATAATCGAAAGTTCAAGTTTACTTTTATAAAATTGTTCTTACAGTCTGCAAAAAATAATAAGCGGGATCCAATTCGAAGATTAAGGAACAACGCAATCATTAACATTAACTTAAATAGATAATTAGATAATTTTAGCTTACACCGTCCGTTAACATTAAACGCGCAGGCGAAAACGTATTCTGCACTTGCGCACACGCATATGCGCAGTAGTCAAGGTCTTACGCGCACGCGTCAAACGCCTTTGCGCATGTGCCAATGCGGCGCATGCACAGAAAGCTTTTAGCTTTGAGGTCCGGATTATAGATCATTCCGGATTATGGGTGTCCGAATTAACGACTTTTGACTGTAGTTATATATTCTCGCAACTACCTTAGTAGAAATCGCCAAACTCTGGCAACCATGTACATAACACTTCTTTAGATAACCATATCCATTGTAAGTTGCAATCTGAAAATTCACTGAATCCCTTTTTTCTCCTGTAAAGAATTGTTAAACAATAAGGCAGTTATGCTAATACATAAATACCATCTACAGAAAGTCTCTAACAGCCTCTAGTCAATAGAACAATATAGGTAAGGGAAGTTAGTAAGTTTGATCTGTAACTTCAGGACAAGAACTGGCTTTGAGGATTAGACCCGTCAAACTGGGATAAAAAGCAGGTGCGACACTGTAATGAAACTGGACATGCCAATGATATGATTTGGCCAAATCTATTCCATAGGCTGCCTCAGCATCATGATGCACTAGCCACCAAGTTCAGAACAATAATTTTGTAAGCTGAATCAGAACCGACATTGACTAAGGGAACCTAACTTTCTAATCAAAACAGAGTATTGCAATGGTCACAGATCAGTGTCGTTACAATACGATTTCTGCACAGAACTCTGAATTTGGAAGTAAAAAAAATATCTAAATCTGGATAAGTAACAGAAGTAAACGACTCTGTTATGGTATCCACCTGCAAGGGTGACTTATTAGAAAAATTTGACCTTCCTTTGAAATAGCCACTAGATGGCAGAACCTGATAGATCTTTACATATTCCAGTAAATGATCCGGTTAATGTTCGGATTATGGTAACTTGGCGTTTTTTGGCGACCAACCCTGCTACAGCAACATGCTAGTTTTTTTTTTTGGACGCCATTTTGTTTACACGAAGTAAAGGCTTTTTTTTTTTTTTTTTTTTTAAACTCAACATTTTATCCAACAATCTGCTAGCCGAATTTCGCCTATGCTAGAACTTTTATGGAACAAAAGTGCTTAATCATGATGAAGATTAAGTGCGAAATTGGGAGAAAGTGCAGAATCGCCCACTGCTTGCCGCGTTTTTGAATTGCACACACACGGTATCCATGTACACGTCGACCTATTTTCACTTAAAAAAAAGTCCCAGAATTGCACAAAAATGGCTTTGTGCACACTCTTGACTTTATCCATGTACACTGCTAAAGTCCTAGCTAATAACCTTTATCGTACTTACAAAAATGTCGCAAAATACCTGTTACCATATTCCAAGGATTAGCCAATGATCCTGCCTCAGAATGGCAATGCTTATGCATTTAAAACTATTATGAAAGGTTTTAAGGCATAAATCAGGAAGCACAGGTGCATACTCAGAGAAGGCCTTTGGCAATAAAAAGATTAGATAACTTGAGGTTTAGAAAATTACAATAAAATAAAGGTAAAATGAAAAATCTGACAGAATTCCAAAGAGGACCCAGCTCAAGTGCTGATCTAGTCAGTGAAATTAATCCCAAATTATTATGAATATGAAACACTGTGTCTTATTTCAAGATAACATAAAATTCATAGTTCATGGCAAAACACACTTTGTGACATATAATTATAAGAAGAAAATAAAACACAATTTTAAAAGCCATGAAGATATTAAGAAGATTGTTTTTTCAGAGATGAACACTGCAACAAATGCAGATACAGAAGGTTAACATGCACTTGCAAAACTGATTTTTAATTCAGACAATGCAATGAGAATTGCTTAAGGAAATTACTGATGGTAAATACTAGAAAATGCCTTGTGTCACAAATGAATACAGAACCATGACCGAAGTAGTACCATGTGAATAAAATGAATGATGATCAATGTAAAAATATACATAGGTCGAATGAATCATCTTTTACATGCTTTGCCACCTCAGGAAACATATAGGTTATAATGTTCATGCATAATATGGACATGTGAAGAACACTGCACATTACAAGCCAGACTATTTTCTTCCTATAGCAAAGCATTACAGCAATTCAATTATATTTTTGTTGATTACACTGTGGTTTTCAACTGATCCCACCAGTTAGTGCAGCAAGACTATACCTTTGTGCCCAATAGTGTAATTCTGATATCCTGCCCACATCTACGTATACCTGTTATTTTGGAAGGATGGATGAATAATACTAAGTTGGTAACTGTTTTGACTGACAATACTAAGTTCTGCAGATAATTACTTTCAGCATGGTGTTACCTCAAGATTATTATGCCCCGCTTCATAATGTTAAGCATATTCCATCATGGTTTGAATGAAATCCCATTATCCTAGTCCAGTATTCTCAAAGAACTGTAGAAATTTTCACACTAAGAATGATACAACAAAGCAAATATTACTAACCTACCAAACTTTCCATGTACCTGTTCCATTCTAAAAGCAAAAGATGACACTCGTCACACAAGTTCGTAATACGTTCTTCAAAGTTATTTCCGTTATTTTGTACAATCCCTGCAATTATTCTACGTACATTTTCTCACCTTCCAGTGAGCACAGCCATGAGCTTCAAAAGTGGTCTAAAAACAATCCATACAAGTGGGTGCGCATTTCGACGCTCAGACGTATGAAAATAACGACAGCACTGTACACGTTTTAGATTTTTTTCTGCAAAACATAAATTTTGATCTTTGCTTATAAAGCGAGAATATAATTTACCGTAATTTAATATTGTATTTCTGTTTCGGTTTATCACATTTCGAATAGCTATTTTACTGCAACAGTTTTCCTGTATTCTAGTAGTTATTATAGAAGAAATACTTTTTATCAGGTGATTTGAACTTCCATCACATATGCTTCTTGAAATGTGAATCTTATCTAATAAAAAAGGGGCGTATTTTAAGAACAGCATATTTCCTTTAGAAGAAGTTTAATAAAAAGTATAATAAACTGGTTAAAATGTAATTTAACTTGATTTGTAGCACACAAATTTTCCCATATATAAATGTCGTGTTTTGCAGCCGCTATGTCTTTCTGCCCGTAGGACGAAAAATCAAACTTTAGAGGCGAAGGAATTTTGTTTGAGAGAAAAATAATTTCGTACCATTTGATAAAGTAAAAAAAAAAAAAAAAAAAGGAGACTGGTTTTCCTGCTTGATAGCAATTGAAAAACCTAGTTAGTTAGTTTAATTTTAAGCTAATACTGAAAATTAAAATAATAATAATAATACGTTAAAAAAATAAAAAGGGGGTGTCCAAACATGAAATACTAAGGCTCCTGTTTATAGGAGCCTTATGAAATACAAGGCAAAAAATGCTTGCTTCTACCACGAGATACAGCAACAACAAAGCAACACAATATCAGAGATTTGGTATATTTTTTTACTCTTTTTGTATATATATGATTGTTGAAGTCTAAGGCTCAGCCTTATTAAAATCTTGCGTGGAAATTATTAAGTTGATTTTTCTTGATCACATCATGTAAATTTTGTTTCTGTACTGTTATTTCTAGGAATCGCTGCGGCTTCCAAGATCCTGCTTTTGTTATCGTTTCATAACGTTTCGTGATTTTTTCCAAACATTTATGGTGCGTTCGTCTGCTGCTGTTCTAAAAGGTACACACACACACACACAAACAAACAAAAGAACTAGCAACGAAACAGGAATGCACAAATAAGCTTTAGAAGGAACAATCTTTCCTGCAATAGTGATACAATTTTTAAATATAAATGTTGAAATTTTTATAAAAGAAATAAATTATTAAGTAAAAGAAAGAATCGATCCACTTCTTATGTGTTCCTAATTTCAAGGAGCAAAAATTCTTCCTTTTCCTCTCTACTAGCAAATGAACTGCGGTCTCTACCAAGAAAGAAGCCCTTCTCCCCATTTAAGACGAAGGGGAAGAGCGAAATGTAAGCATTCATTATTATTCATAGTATTAAAATCACAAATGATGAGCAGTGAAAACTAATGTGAATGAAGAAGGGAAAGGAAAATATCCTACCTTGACCATGGGATTCCAGGTTATATCTACAAAAGATTAATTTTAATTCTTGAAAGGAAGAAAAACAAAGGATTACCTTCTTCTACAGCTAATGAAGAGCAATGATGCTAGACAGCGTTGATAAAATAATCAAGTAAATAAATACAAAACTCCAAACTTTCCGAATAAGAAGGTTAAGAAAACACGTCCACACCCTTCGCAGTTCTCAACCACTCTCCCCAGTATACGCGATGTGATCCAACACAAGGCCAACTATATATCTAGTTGGCTTTGCCCAACAGCTGTCATCAAACGGAAACTGTACCTTGATAATTTATATTGTGCATATTCTTAATATTATTTGTCATCTATAAGAGAAAAAATTAATAAATATTTTGAAAATAAATAAATATAATTAATAAATAAATATTTTGAAAATAATATCGCGGCTACATCTTATAACGACATTGAACTTGACACCCCCCTTTTTTCGCCGCCGCTAGTGCGAACCTCACTCTCTTTCATCCGCCTTAAGGCTCGTTTGAGCCTTAATCCGCCTTGCACACTCCTTTCACCCTTACTCTTTCTCCCCCACCCAATCCTTATCAGAAGTCGAGTAAAAAGATGTTCCTACATCTTGACACTCGAGAATAAAATACGATCTGTGTGTGTGTGAGTTTATTGTAAATTGGAAAATTATTTTGAAGTTATCTAGCCACTAAATCTCATTTTTTAAATCAAATTCTTAAAATCGAGAGTGCAAAACGGTTACATGAAAGAATTTTAACTGTGATAAAATTGTAAATAAGTGTTAGTGTGGCCGGCTATACCGTGTTTAACGTTATAGTATTTAATAATTTGAATGATTTTTATTCTTAGTATCTTGTAAGCAAAGAAATGGGTAATACAAGTTCTAATAAGCGTGACAGAGCATATTTTTCTGATAGCGAAGGCCCTCCTGCTTCATGCAAAGAAGGCAAAGTTTTCGAGTTTAGTGCTGGGAGTAGAAAAGACAAGTTTCATTGCCAAACTTCATTAGAGGATTGTGATGACTTTTCACATATATCCAGGGATAAATCTGATGAATTAAAGTTATCTGCTACATCTGATACTTACGAAAAATGTCTTCCTACTGTTTTTAAATGGGGAGGTGGTGGAAAGGAGGTTTTTATTAGTGGTTCGTTTTCTGATTGGAAACCCATCCCAATGGTACAGAGTCACGGAGATTTCGCTCTTATTCTTGAAATTCCTGAAGGGGATCATCAATACAAGTTTAAAGTTGATGGCCAGTGGTTGCATAATCCAAGCGAGCCGACAGTTGATAATGATGTTGGCTCTAAAAATAATATAATTTCTGTAAAAAAATCAGACTTTCTCGTGTTTGAAGCATTAGCGGCAGATAGTATTGGTTCTGCATACTCTGGTTCTCCTCCAGGATCATATTCTCAAGAAGTACCACAACATAAGCCAAATGAGAAAACTGTTGGACCACCAGTCTTGCCACCACATTTGCTGCAGGTGATATTAAATAAAGATGTACCTTTGTCTTGTGAACCAAATCTGCTTCCAGAGCCAAACCACGTTATGCTCAATCACCTATATGCTCTTTCAATTAAAGATGGTGTGGTAGTTTTGAGTGCCACACATCGTTATAAAAAGAAGTATGTCACTACACTCTTGTATAAACCAATATAACTCTTATAATGATTTGCTTATATTTGTTCTTTGTTGAACTGCAGAGTTTACAAAAATTATTTTTAGGTTTGTTTTGTTGCATTTGTTGTGCATAAAAATAAGTGTATTGCATTTTTAGTTACAAATAATAATTACTTTTCCTATCTTTCAAGCAGTAAGCTAAAGCACTGAAAAGGAATTTTTTATTATTTTTATTTTAAAGATCATTAACTAAAATGATAGTTTTATTGCTTCCTTATATTAAGAAATGTGGAAGAATTGCTCTTTTGTTTTAAATGGAATGTCTCTAACATATCTGTAACTTAAAGGCCCAAAAAGTATTACTGTAAGAGATGACTGGTTTGTTAATAGATTCTGGCAAAGTACATGAAGGTTACCGAATTCTGGATAAGGGGAGTAACCTGATGATCTGTATAAGAGAAGAAATACCTTCATAAAAGATTTTCTTTTCTTAGCTAGTGTTATACATAAGGGAAAACCACACAGCTGGTTCTCTCATTGGGAATGGACACCTTAATGAATTGTAAATATTCTGTTGCCATATTCATTCAGCTGCTGGGTATTGTAAAAACTTTCATTTGCATTTGTAAATATTTCATATTTCAGATTTAGTAAAAGAGTTTTTAAATGTTAATTTTTTTTTTTTTTTTTATGTATCACTTGTGTATTCCATTTAGGCTTTCATGAATAAGGTAGTTCAGCATTTCTGAACTAAAGCTTTCTTAAACTATAAAACATTAAATTAAGATATTTGAATTTAAAGAAACTGAAGATAAGACTTTTAAAGAAATTGCATGTATTGATATTTATGAAATTGATCATTTGCCACATAAAGTGCAAAAGGAATTTATATGTCAAGTGATTTGCACTTAAAACTAGAGGTTTCACAAAAATCTTTGAATAAATTCTGGATTGGAGCTAAAACTGAATTTCTTACTATTTCTGAAATAACATTAAATGTTCTGTCATTTAGCACATGTTTGCACGTGTTTATGCAAAACGACATTTTTACCCTTGACTAATTAAATCCAAATGTCATTAACGCTAAAAAATGTTGAAGATGTGTTATGTTCATCAGTGTCAAATATTGTGCTCATTTATAATTTTGTTATGCAGCAAAAAACAAGTGCATCTGTCTCATTAGAATTTTCTTTCGTTAATTTTTATTTGCTTCAAGTAAATACTGAACTACTTCTTTATACATATATAATTATTTACCAGGTAAATAAATTATTTATTGGAAAATATGAATTTTTATATCTTTATTTTATATTTTATATCTGGGGTTGCTAAAATTTCAGTGATATAAAGGGGTTGCAAGTTACGGTCATTAAAGAAACTGCAATTATGTCAGAAAGGTTTTGGATAAAAATTGTATTTTAATCTTTAGATTATGTATTTGAAATCATGAATTTATTCCTGTGCTTGCTAGATGCAGAAAGAATCTGAAAGATTTTCCCCATTCCAATAAACAAAAAATATTGGTTTTATAGTACTAAATGGGTGCATCATATTTGTTGTCTATTGTATATTATGTTTAATACTATGGGCAGTTATAACTTAATTTAACTTCAATAAGTAAATTTTCTGAAAATCAGTTTTCAAAACTGAGTTTTAAGACATGAAATTAAATTGCTTCATAGCATTAGATTTATAGATCATTAGCTGTTATGCAGAGGCGTAGCTAGGGTTTTCAGCACCCGGGGACAACTAAAGATTTTGCGCCCCTTTTTCTGTGCCAAAAACGGAAAACATTTTATTCTAAAATTTCGTAACATCAATTTGGCGCCCCCTGAATGCTGCGCACAGGGACATATGTCCCCCTTGTCCCACCTTAGCTAAGCCACTGCTGTTATGGGAAAACATGTTTTTCCTTGAGAAACTCGCTGAAAAAATTTTTTACTTAGTTTTGGAGGGTGAAGTGCAGAATCGCCCACTTATTTGTTTAGCGCTTTTTACAAGAGTAAGAAGAATTGGATTTTTGTCGATTTTCTTTGATCTTTTTAAGTGAAAATAGGTTGATGTGTACATGGATAAAGTCAAGGGAGTGCGCAATGCCATTTTTGTGCAATTCTGGGATTTTTTTTTAAGTGAAAATAGGTCGATGTGTACATAGATATCGAGTATGTGCAATTTTTAAAAATACGAGCCAAGCAGTGGGTGACTCTGCACTTTCCCCATTTGGGATTATAAAAATCAGAAAATGTTGATATTTTGTAAATATATCTATCTATAAATCTGTGATTTATGTATATTATCTGTTATTTGAATTTAACAAGTCATTATTTCATTTTCATATTGAGCTAATTAAAATTTTAAATCATGAAAATTCAATTGTAAACAAAAAATGATTAATTATTGCTGCGAACTAGTTAAAAATAAATTTCATATGAAACTAATTTATAAAATTAAATAAAATTAAATAATTGTCTTGCACTATTGCTGCAAGGAATGAAATTTGAATTTAATAAATACAAATCATTATCTCATTCATATTAAGCTATTAAAATTTTAAATTATGAAAATTCAATTGTAAACAAATAAAAAATTATTAATTATTGGTGAAAACTAATTAGAAAAACTATTTACCAGTTAATTAAAGAAATATATGCGAATTTTGGAATTTATCTGCATATATTTGCTTTGCTTCATAGCTATGGGATTAATTAGCTTTAAATTACTTATGCAGTTGACCATGGAACAGTGCAGGGCATAGGAGTCTTATCCTGATGAAAATCAGCATACAGTTTTTACTATGAAAAAAACCTAGTTGCACTGACTAAAAGCTTTAATGATAACATAAACAGTCAATTGCAACATATTTTATGTGTGATATTCATTTGATATTGTATTCTTTCAGTCAAATGGGTTGCCCTCCAAAAATAGAGAAAAAATGTTATTTGAGAAAATACATTTATAATATACAATATATTATGCTTATCAGCACTATTCAAAATGAATCACTACTATCGGTATTGTTTTATGATGTTCAAAATACTGTCAATATTATATGTATTACTAATGCAAAATATCAAAAATGAAGTTTTTGTTACATATTGTATGTAAATGGTAAAATAGATTAAAAATTACGATACTTTCTGATTATTCTAAGGAAAAAGATGATGGCACATTAGTGACAGTGGCGTAGCGAGGGGGGGCAAGGGGGTGTATGATGCTCCAAGCACTGCTCACAGAGGGGCGCCAAAAGGTGTCCAAACAAGATTTTCGTCATAGCACTGTGTTTTTTTTTGGGGGAGGCAGGGGGCAAAATGCCAGTTATGCTCGCTACTCCACTGATTAGTGACTTGAATTGGTGAAGAGTGTTTGGCTGTCTTCATAGCTTGTAGTACTATTGTTTCCTCCTTATAATAAGAAAATAAATATCTTATGAGAAAAAAAAGTAAATTTTTTCTTAAAAAATATTTATTAAAACTGTGTAAAGCAAAAACTGTTATTAAAACTTGTAAAGCAAAGTGAGGATTCAACATATAGTGGGTAAATCTTTGTGTTTCCAAGCATGCATTGTTTGGTTATTATTGTGCCTATACCACCAGAAACATGTAGTTTTACTAAATATTGAAGTCTGAGTGCAGATAATGAGAAAGTACCATAATTACATATATTTTACAAATATTTGTGTATTACTTTTAACCCCTTTCAAGACGGCATCCCTTTGTTTCATACGTTCTCCCAGAAAAGCTGGGAAAGGAATCTTCCCACAGGATGGGATTTTGCGTCACTAATTTCGAAAATAATTACATAAAAAAAAGTGTAAGTCCTAATATCATAATTTTTGGTTCCATTTTAGATTATTACTTAAGCTATCATATACATTAAAATTAGCATTTAGTAATCTTTTTCCTTTACATGAAAATATATAAAAAAAATTACTTACTTTGAGAAATAATTTTCAGAAGTGCTATTCAAATTATTCCAAAATTTTAATTGGCAAAGGACATTAATAAACTTTAAAATTAATAAAAGAATTAAAACAGTTTTTAAGAAAAAGTAACAAAATCTTTCACGGTAAGTTGAAGGCAGGCACTCCATGAGCTCCGTCTCTGACAAAATGTCGTTATCAGAATCACTCTCTAGCTCTTTAGAAAATGAATCATCACTGTCATCTATGCCATTAATTGGCTTATATACAATGTCAGTATATCTTTCTCGGCATAATAAACTGCCTTTCCGAAATAAAAAAGGACGTACGCAAAATACACTCAAAAGCAATGCAAAGCATAACAGAATCCCACATATTAATTCCAAAAGATCCCACACAGTAGCAAAAAAAAAGGATTTGAAGTGATATCAGAAACAAATTTTATATTGTGGTGAGTTAAAGAGCGGAACTCTATTTGTTTGCATTATGTTTACCCTTCTCTGTCGCAATAGCTAACTTCAAAGCCAGGCAGAATGTGATCAAACTGAAGGTCAGGATCCTAAAACTATGTTCAGTTTAAAAGTAATGGACACAGGATGCCATCTAATGGGCTCTAAACTGGTTCAGCTTAAAATGCACATGTGCATCACCTGTCCCCTAAACTCATTATCTAGTGATGCCTGTCCGAAAAGAATTAAACTTTTTTATATATTTTACAAATATTTATGTATTACTCATAATCTTTTTGGTGTTTCTAGGCCTTGTAGTTCATTTGCAAGAAAATTCAGATATGCAGAGTTTGAAAGAACAATTTCCATTGTATTTATTTTGAAAAAATACATGTAAATGCAGCCACATTATGTAAGGATCAATTCTATGCAAATTTTTAAAAATTATATAAGTGTCGATCTTTTTAAATGACAGTTATAAAATTATACTTTTAAATTAAAAATTTTAATATAATAATTGAAATACACTGATGATAACAGGAAATTAATTTTCACTCGCAAGAAAATTTAATGTAATTACCAAATTACACTTCATCATAATTTTCATAGAGAACATCCCAGGATTCCCGATCTTTTCTATCCTACCACCGACCTCTAAAATGGACTTTCAGCTCAGCATTATTTTAAGTGTTCTCGTGTTGCAAGGACAACCAAGGTATGGCAGCTAGCTTCCCTATCACCATGCCAGTGGGATGGAATCGAACATTAATCTTGATGTCTGACACAGTCAGGCTTGTGCGACTTCAGTAGATTTATTCTTCTAAAATAAACCTAGTTTATGAAATATTGCTTTAAGATCACAAGCATTTATTTTTTATTTGAGGTGTATTTATTGCATGATACAGAAATTTATCATACACAATTAACTCCCATTATAGGAAAGGAAAGTAAAAGTTTAGATGAAGTTTTGTAATAGAGTGAGTGGCTTTCCATTTGAAGTGAAGAAAAATAAAATTTCAGTTACAGTGGAGCACCAATTTTCATTCATATGTCATTGACATTTATACATCATTTCATCTTGATTCCAATTCAGTCCTATTTATTTTAATACTAAAATACTTCTAATATTAAAATAGGTCACAAGTATTTACTTTTTGTTTGATATTTGTTTCATGATATGTAAATTTATCATATGCAGTTAACTCCCATTATAAGAAAGGAAAGTAAGAGTTTGGATGAAGTATTGTTTGTAAAGAGTAATGAAGAAATGTAAAAAAAGAATTAAATTTCATTAAAAATTAATAAAATCATTTAAAATGAAGAAATGTAAAATTTCAAATACAGTAGAGCACCCTTTCTCATTATACATTATTTCATCTTGGTCTTGCTTCAGTCGTATATATTTTAACACTAAAATATTTCTAATATTAAAATAGTTCATGTTGCATAATTTCAAGTCATAACTTATAAGTCGCTTTTGCTTACTGCATTGGTTGTACATTTCTCAATCTCACCGTTCAGGTTTTTTCCCAAAAATGGGAATAGGAGAAGAAATTAAAGGCATCAGACATTACAGTCTGGTATAGGAGTTGAAATCCAGTTCATTTCAGGGATACTTGAAAGAAAAAGCAGGTTTTTCTTTTCTTTTTTGAACAGGATACTGTGTTTAGTAAACTAGGTGGTGCAGAATTAACCGATACAAAAATGTCACGAAAGTGAAAGGCACTCTCAAAAGATAAAATTTTAAAAGAATTTGATGAGAATACTGGTTTGACAAAAGTTAGCAAAGAAACAGGATTACCTTGAAAACTCTACAAATGTTTGTTTATGATAGAAGAAAAGTTAAAGAAAGAGCAGAAATTTATGCACGTCAAAGAAATTATGTAGTTAAGAAGAAAAGATTCCTACGGTCAAAACCATTTTTCTAAAATTTTTATTCAATGTCTTGCATTCAGTATTCCAGTGAATGGCTCCATGTTAATCAAGAAGTCAGAAGAAATATCATTTTGATTGGATGTGAAAGAAGCTTGCTTTTTAACAGAAATGGCTGCATAAATTTAACTTATAGAAAAACAAAGCCTTTGCTAACCTTACGCTTAAAATACTGAGCACCTGAAATGCCTTTAGAGATTCACAGCAGTTTCCTCCCCTCTCCATCCATTTATGCACAG